ATTTTATGATAAAAGGGTCAATACATCAGGAAGATACATACAATTATAAACATACATGAACCTAACAAAATAGTGACAAATACATGAAGTTAAAAAATGACAGGATTGAAAGGAGAAATAGACAATTCACATTAAAATCAGAGATTTCAACAATGACAGAAAACCATTAAGAATACAGAAAGTCACACAACAATCTCAAAAAATTTAAAGAGATTAAAAATATACAAAGTATGTGTTCCGACCACATAGAATGAAATGAGACAAATCTGAGAAAACCCCAAATATCAGAATTATATAACATGCTTCTAAATATTACAAGGACCAAAGAAAAAAAATCACAAAGGAAATTTTATAATATTTTGAATGAATGAAAACAAAAGTACAATATACCAAAATTCATGGAATACAGATAAAGCACTGTTTAGAGGACACTATATTGTTTTAAACCCCATTAGCAAAAATAAATAAATAAATAAAAGGGCAATCAATTACCTAAGTTTTCACCTTAAGAAATTAGAAAAACCAACTAAACCCAAAGCAAGCAGAAAAAAAGGAGTAATAAAGAGTTTAATTCAGTGAAACAGAAAACAGAAAAATAGAAAAATTAATAAAACTAAGTTGGTTCTTTAAAATAATCAAAGACTCAATATTGTTAATGGGAAATTCTCCTCAAACTAACCCAGCCATAAAAAGCAATCTGCCAAAACCACAGCAGACTCAATATAAACTGAAGGCTAATCTTAAATTTTATACCAAAAAAATTTTAATTTTATTATTAAATTTTAAATTTTATACAAAAGAAAGAATCTAGAATAGGCTAAATAATTTTGACAAGAACAGAGTAAGAGCACTTATAAGCTCTGATTTCAAAATGTACCCTCAAGCTAGAAATCAAAACAATGTGGTATTGACATAAGGAAAATCAAACAAATCAATGGAATCCAGAAATAAATCCTTACAGTTTATGGTCAGTTGATTTTCTACACAGGGGCAAATGGGAAAAGGACACATTTTCCTTGGATATCAAGATGAGAAAAATAGTAACTTAGATCCCTACCCCACATCATACACAAAAATTAACACAAAATAGATCAGAGAGTTAAATGTAAAAACTAAAAGTTTTGAAGAAAATCTTTGTGACTCAAGGCTAATAAACAGTTCTTAAGACACAAGAATAAAGTTATAAGCCATAAAAGAAAAAAAAATCAATGTTGGATTTCACTGAAATTAAGAACATTTGTGCTTCAAAAGACAGCATTAGGAAAATAAAAATAGAAGGCACATACTGGGGAAAAATATTTACAAATCACATATCTGATAAGGGACTTGTGTCTAGAGTACTAATAAACTTATAAAGTTCTCATTAATAAGACAAATAACCCAATTAAATAACAGAAGCAATAACCCAACTGAAAAATGGGTTCTGATAAAAGCTACCATATGGATGAACCTTAAAAACCTCATGCTAGGGGTCAGCATTGTGGCATACCAGATAAAGCCACCACCTGTGATGCCTACATCCCATTTGGGCACCAGTTTGAGACCCAGCTGCTCCATTTCCGACCCAGCTCCCTACTATTGAGCCTGGGAAACAGTGGAGATGGCCCAAGTGCTTGGGCCCCTGTGCACATATGGGAGACTGCGATGAAGCTCCTGGCTCCTTGCTTCAGCCTGGGGAGTGAATCAGTGGATGGAAGATTCTCTCTCTCTCTCTTTCTCTCTCTCTCTCTTTCTTCCTCTGTTTAACTCTGATATTCAATAAATAAATAAGTCTTTAAAAAATACATGCTAAGTGAAATAAGCACAAAGCAACAAGTATTGTGTGATTCTACTTACATTAGGTAGATAAAATTTGCAAATTCATAGAGAAAGAAAACAACAGAGGTTATGAGAGCAATGTGGAGTTATTGTCTAATAGGAATAGAATTGCTGTTGGGGATGATCAATGAGTTCAGAAATGGATAATAGTGATGCTTGTACAACATTGTAAGTGTACTTAGTGTCACTGGATCATCTATTTAAAGTGATTAAAATAGTAATTTACCACAATGAAAAATGCAATTGTTGGGGCCAGCACTGTGGTATAGTAGGTTAAGCATCCGCCTGCAACACCAGCATCCCATAAGGGCATCAGTTTGAGTCTCGGCTGTTCCACTTCCAATCCAGCTCTCTGCTTATGGCCTTGAAAAGCAGTGGAGAATGGCCTAAGTGCTTGGGCCCCTGCACCTGCATGGGAAACCCAGAGAATGCTCCTGGATCGTGGCTTTTGATCAGCTCAGCTCCAGCTGTTGCAGCCACTAGGGGAGTGAACCAGTGGATGGAAGACTTTTCTCTCTGTCTCTCCCTCTCTCTGTAACTCTGCCTCTCAAATAAATAAGTAAATAAAAGGCAATTGTTTTAAAAGTGGGCAAAAGATTTATTTCATCAAAGAAGATATATAAATGACCAATAATTATATTGAAAGGTGTTCAACAGCATTAGCCATCAAGGGGATACAAATTAAAACCATCATGAGATGCCACTACGTATCAACTAGAATGACAATAATCAAAAAGATAATGCCAAGTGTGGGTGAATTTGGAACTCCGACACATTGCTGGTGGGAATGTAAAATGGTATAGCTACTCTGGATTTAAACCGTGGCTCACGAGGCTAATCCCCCACCTGTGGTGCCGGCACACCGGGTTCTAGTCCCGGTTGGGGCGCTGGATTCTGACCCGGTTGCTCATCTTCCAGTCCAGCTCTCTGCTGTGGCCCAGGAGTGCGGTGGAGGATGGCCCAAGTGCTTGAGCCCTGCACCCGCATGGAAGACCAGGAGGAAGCACTGGCTCCTGGCTTCGGATCGGCGCAGTGCGCCAGCCTTAGCGGCATTTGGGGGGGTGAACCAACGGAAGGAAGACCTTTCTCTTTGTCTTTCTCTCTCTCTCTATCACTGTCTAACTCTGCCTGTCAAAAAAAAAAGTTAAATATAAGCTCACTATAAGACCCAGAAATTCCACTCCTATTAATTTACCCAAGAGAAATGAAAATATATTTCCAAATCAAAGACTAGTACACAAAGCTGTTCATAGCAGCTTTATTGATCATAGCTAAAAACTGAAGAAAAATCCAAAGGTTCATCAATTAATGAATGGAAAATGCAATATGGTACATCCATCCTTTCCACAGACCACGGGCAAGGGACAACAAAAGATCTCTGACACCTGCTAGGATCTGACTGGAACTCTAAGAGATTATGCTAAGTGAAAGATGCCAGGTGCAACAGACTTCATATTGAGTGCTTCCATTTACATGAAATGTAGAGAAGAGAAAAATATATAAGGACAAAAAGCGGATGAATGTCTGGGGCTGGAGCACAGAGGGAAAGCCTGCACACAAGTTTGTGTAAACTGGGGGTGAGGGAGGGGAGATAACACCCCCAGACTGAACTTTGTTAATGGCTGCACAATTCTACAAATTTACCAAAAATCATTTAATTCTACACTTACAATGGCTGAATTCTTGTGGCATTTAAATTATAGCACAACAATGCTGTTTAGGCTGGCACTGTAGTACAGTGGATTAAGTCACCACTTGGGAACTGACATCCATATTGGAGCGTCGGTTCAAGTCCCTCTTACTCCGCTTCTGATGAACAGAAGAGAAACGCTATTCCCTGCTAATGCACCTGGCAAAGCAAGGGATGATGGCCCAGATAGTTGGGTCCCTGCCATCCACATGAGAGATTCTGATGGTGTTCCAGGCTCCTGGCTTCAACCTGGTCTGGCTTGGTCCCAACTATTGTGGCCATCTGAGGGGATGAAACACATATCTGCCTTTCAAATAAATAAATCTTTAAAAGATAATACTAAAAACTAAACTCAAGGAGCAGGCATTGTAGCACCGTGAGTTAAGCTGCTACTTGGGATGCTGGCATTCATATCAGAGTGCCTAGTTCAAGTCCTGGTTACTGTGCTTCTGATCCAGCTTCCTGCTAATGCACCTGGGAGGTGGCAGATGGTTGCTCATGTACTTGAATCCCTGCCACAGGTAGGAGACCTGGATGGAGTTCCTGCCTCCTGGCTTCAGCCTGGACAAGCCCTGGCTGTTGCAGGCATTTGGAGAATGAACCACTAGATGGGAAATCTTCCTCTCTCTCTCTCTCTCTCTCTCTGTGTGTGTGTGTGTGTGTGTGTGTCTGTCTCTTTCTCTCCGCTCTCCCTCTGTTATTCCACCTTTAAAATAAATAAATCTTTTAAAAAATAAATTAAAACCTGACAATAAGGAAAAAATGTGATTTAGCTTCAAGAAGCATATCGACATACTCCCCATGACCAGAAAGGTCTTCCTTAATCCAACCATGTATCTTTTATTCATATAGTTAATAATTACACGTGGACGAGACTGACACCGTGCAGTGAGGGAACCCAGGCCCCAAGTGACCTTAACGTTCCTGAACTAGATTGTGTGGTCCCTGGGCATGCTCAGCAAATGGCAGCAAAGTTACAGACTGTAAAAATAGACAAGAATAGCCTGATATTAGACCCATTTCAGAGAAAAATAGAGCAACAAAAGGGGAGTCAGAGAAGCAATTCAAAGACCGAAATTGCTTGAGTAACAAACTCTATTACATGCAATCATTATGACCCAGAAACATTTAATCTGAAGCAGCAAAGGCTGACTTAGTAATTGATTTAATAGCTGTCTTCAAAGACACAAAGGGTTTTATAGGAAACTATCTGAGTAGCTAGACCTCTCTCTCTCTCTCTCTCCACCGAGAGCCAAACAAAACAAAATGATTTAATAATCAGCCAAGCAAATTTAGATGAAATGTAAATAACACCGAAAGTAACTGCTATCGAATCCTGAAATAAATTTAACTGGGCTATTTGTGCAAGCAGTCTCCTTGGCACTCAGTGAGAACAGACGAGACAGACAGCTTCAGTCTGAACACCTTCCGGCCTGGGAGGTGGGATGGGCCCCGGGGCAGCCGCTGTGGAGGGCGAGGCGGCGGCCCTTACCTCGATATCCCGGTTCAGCTGCTTCACGATGGCAGTTATGTTCCTGATGTGCTCCTCCAGGAAGAGCCGGGCCAGGCGGTCGCCTCCGCCCTTGTTCTGCATCTTCTGCAAGCTGCTGACGATGTCGTCCTTGATCCGGAAGGCGTGCTCGACCAGCGCGGCCGTGGTCTTCTCATGGCACAGGATCCTGTCTTCCAGCTGCTCCACGAGGCTCACGGACGAGTAGGGTGCCATGGTCAGGGACTGGCTGTGTCGGGGCATGGTTCTAACTCGCCTACGGAAGGGAATCGCGTGATGCCGGTTGTTCACTGCGGGCAGCAAGGTTTCTGCTTTTTTTCTAAGCCAAATTCAAGACTCCCCAAAGAAGGAAATACAAGTCATCTATCCCTACAAGCTAAGGGGGTTTGAGGCAGGGCTTCTGCACAGAAGACTCTTCTGCGTGAGTCAGGCAGGACCTCTTAAATAATTGTGCCCAAACCCTTAAGGAGTGCTGGGGGCAGGCTCTGTGACCTCTGAGAACAAACGGCTAGAAGAACTGGGCACACAGAGATGCCCTCCCCGGCATAAGCTATGATTTCCAGATCAGGCTTACTAACAGAATCCCCTGACATGCTCACCCCCCACCATGGAAGCAGTGCTTACAAATTCATATGTCTGCAGGGCCAAGCAGGCAACAGACATGAGCGCTGGGTGCTAGGTGCTGGAAAGGGCATCCCCCTGCTACAGGGAGCATGGGTCTGCACCACCCATCAGGGACCACCTGAGACTGTAAGGCCATTTTGCCAAAAGAGCCGGGAAATCCAGACTCGTAGTGGGAAGCTGCCTGATTTTTAACCACTGACGATTCATCTCAAAGTATTTAAGATCCTGCAGGCAGAGCGACGTACTTCCGTGAGCCCATTTTGGCCCGTGGGCACTTGCTTTGCAACCTGTTATTTCAAAGGGTTCTCGAGGATGTTACCCTCCAGCCTCTCAAAGTTGTGTTTTACTGTTGCCGGGAAGGTCAACCGTCCCATCGGACGGCTCTGAGATGTCTACCGTGGGGTCACTGAGTGGGCTACAGAGTCCTGCAGACTGGAAGCTGGGAGAGGGGACACAACAGTACTTCTCTCGCCCTTGAACAAAGCCATTCCTGGATAATGCAACAGCCACAAGGGTTCATTTAACACGCCCACCACACCCGCTAGCAGCCCTCATGGGATTGGTGGAAAGGAAAAGTATACCTTAGATGCATATTTTCCATATATTATACCTTTCCTCGGTGACAAGAGAAGGAAGTACAGTGCTCCGTTGGGCCATTTTCTTTTTAATAATTCACATCTGTTGAAAAAATAAGCACTCAATTATTTAACAGTTCGTATCTAGAACTTGACCTCAAAAGCTTCTGATTAAGTTACTAAGTGGATCCTAAATTATGTGGGCATGCTGATCTGTCATATTATTAAAAGTCTTATGTCCTATATACGACATAAATAGCAAATGTTTCCAAATATAGAAAAAGGATAAGCAAAATCAAAGTGCTTCTGAAATTAATACTGCAAAGCCTTGGTAGAGAAATCAGCAAAGCTTGTTAAATAGAATTCCCTCAAGTTTCTTCAGCCAATCTGCATCTCAAGCTTGGGAAACCACTTTTATAGAAACAAAATACAGGGGCCAGTGTTGTGACACAGTGGGTTAAGCCACTGCCTGCAATGCTAGCACCCCATATGAGCCCCGGCTGCGGACCCCCTGCCCAAACTGTTCTACTTCTGATCCAGTTCCTTGCTAAGGCACCAGGGAAAACAGCAGAGGATGGCCCAAGTACTCAGGCCCCTGCCACTACATGGAAGACCCAGATGAAGCCCCAGGCTCCTGGATTTGACCTTGTCTAGCCCCAGCTGTTGCAGCCATTTGGGGAATAAACCAAAAGACTCTTCTCTGCTTCTAACTCTACCTTTCAAATAAATCTTAAAAACAACAGCAAAATACTTTATTTAACTGGTTTATTCAGTCTTGTACTTCTTGTAGAAATCTGAAGCAAACTCCTTTAGTAAGTCTGATCTCAGGAAATTTAATAAATTCCATAGCAAAGGAAGAGTAGTTGTTTCTACATCAATCTTCAACACAAAAGCAAAATCAATGTGATCTGGTGTAGGGGAATCCATCTATCCCCAAAGAGAATGAGAGTGATAGTCTTCATCAAAACTTTATGATAAGATATAATTGCTCACTTTACACTCACGAGTGACATTTTGCATACGAGGATTTGATCATTACAACTCATTAGAGATCTGAACAACGCTACGGGCTTTTGAAAATGTTTCATTGCTGTGGCTTTCTCAGTACTGCCGTCGACTGGCTTAAACAGTGGATGCCTGGGAAGCACACCCTGACGCAGTAATCAGTCGGCACTGAGCTGCTGCAGCCACAGAGCGCTTCCGATGGACACCACTGTTTTGGCACCATCATTCCAGTGTTTTATTGTTAGAGTTTCAAAATGTGAACATTTTGCTTTCCTAGGCAAAGACCTTCAAGATTTAAACAAATTACACTTTAGGGAAAAAAAGGAAGTTCACGCCAAACAAGCAATGGTGTCTGAAGGAGTGTTTCAGTGTCAAAGAGAAGAGATGTCCGATTTAGAATCAATAAAGTGAGGCCCGTGTGGAGGATGTTAATATGTAGAATCTTGGCAATTTAAAGACATCAGACACCTTGGTTGAGATATTCATCTACAAAACAGCCCAATTAAGGAGCATTTAGTTGAGGGCCAGCGTTGTGATGCAGTGGATTAAGCTGCTGCAGGTTAAGCCATGGCAGCTCGAGACACAAGCATCCCATATGGGTGCCAGCTGCAGTCCTGGCTGCCCACTTCGGATCCAGCTCCCTGCTAATGGGCCTGAGAAGGCAGCAGAACACAGCCCAAGGACTTGGGCCTCTGCCACCCACATGGGAGACCAGAATGGAGTCTGTGGCTCTAGGCTTTCGCCTGACCCAGATCTGATTGTTTTGGCTATTTGGGGCATGAACCAGCAGATGGAAAATCTTTTTCTTTCTGTCTCTCTCACTCTCTCTCTGTTGCTATGCCTTTCAAATATATAAATCTTAAAAAAAAAAAAAAAAACTTAAGCATTTGTGAATGAATGGGGACTTCTGGCCTCCCCCTCTCTGAAGTTTGGTTCCTCCCTCTGTAACTATTCTTGAGCTACCGAAGCCCACCCGCATCGACATTCTGGAAAAGAAGTCACACACCGCTGACTGTGGGAGCTAGTTTGCCAGTAGCAAGGCTTCTCGCTGTCAAGTGCTGTGCATGCTCTCTGACAGGAGCTTCCTACGGTGTGAGTTCACAACACACAGAATCGGTGTTGTGTCACGACTGCACTGTGGACCTGCTCATCTGTCGGTTCCCTTGGTTTATCGGTATCATGATCCTTTGCCAGAATTGGGGGAATCTATGAGGAGTCTTCAACAAGGTCACAGGAAGTGCATATTAGGAAGATACTATGCACGGATTTCAAAAATATTCTGCACCAAAATTAATCTTTTCATTCCATTTGTTCCCAAACTTTTAGAAATACACACAGGTATCGCTAATGAATAAGGACTGATAATAAATAAAGCACTGGATTAGTAACTTCTCAAGCACGGATTCCAGCTCTTCCCATTGTGGATTCTGGCTTCTGTGCCTGGGCTGTCTCTGCCTATACATTTACAAACCTGATCTCTAATACTGCTAACAGGCAAGAGGGCCTACAACTTCGTCAGGCTGCTCTGTGTCGTATGCCGTTTTGATTGTGCCACGACTCACTGTTATCATAAGCCATCTCCACTTCATGAATTTAAAGAAATGGGTGAGTTAGGGAGGAAGAGACAAGTAAGGCAAGAAGAACTGAAGGAAACAGTTTTAAAAAGCAAAATCACACCACCCAGGGTATACAACATATCAGTAGACTTGCAGGTTTCACACAAAAGGAAATGCTATTATCAAAAAAAAAAAAAAAAGAAGAAGAAAGAAATGCTATTATCTAAATTAAAATCTGTTGCAACAAAAATTCTGTCTAGAAGGGAAAAGCAAACAGGAAGTAGATATACTCATATATAAATATGAATAATATTTTAAGGACCAAAGGAGACAACTAATTATTGTATTTTTCTAAGTAATGGGACACTGGGTAAAATACCTAATGATTTTAATGAAAAATGATACGGATTTAATAAATTAGGATGACAACTTAAACTGAAGAACTGAGTGCCAGTCATGTAAAAATGAAGTTTTTCAGTTCACTATTAAAATATAGTGCTGACATATTCTGCTGAGTGTCAGAGTAAAAAAAAACCACAGGAAAGCTCTTATGAATAAAGTGGTTGTAATTTGGTAGTTCCAAAAAAAAAAAAAAAAAAAAAAAAAAACCTTATTTCCTTATACAGTGGTTAAAAATAGAGTGAAAGGCTGTCGGGCGGGGAATCGCTGCAGGTGTGTCTGGCAACATAGGTGGGGGCTGCTCCCACTCCGTCTCCAGTGCCAGGCTCAGGCCTTGGGCTTTGTCCCACGGCAGGATGGACGGAGACTGAACGTGGCAGAAGGCAAGTGTAAAGAGTATCCAAGAGCACCCAAGGCAGAGGCCTGTGTTTAAGGAAAACTGGGACTCCACTTAGGAGGCCTGCACCCTGGGCTCAAGTCCTGGCTGTGCCTCCCATTCCAGCTTCCTGCTAGTGTGCACCTGGTAGGCAGCAGGTGATGGCTCAAGTATTTGGAAAACGTGGCTTGAGTTCCAGGCTCCTGTTTCTGCGCTCCTGGCTTTGGCCTGGCCCTGCCCAGCCTGTTGCAGGCACTTGGGGAGTAAACAGTGGATTACTCTCCACCCACAGCCCTTTGCCCTTGGCCTTCTTCTAACCTCCCAGTTTCACTGTGTGTTTTCCTCCCATCCACTGCCTCCACTTCCTCTCCTCTCACGCCCCCTTTCACACTGATAGCTCAACATGCTCAAGCCCTTATTTGAACCCTCACTTTCCCACTACCTGTGGGACCCCAGTGAGCCGGCTTTTCTTTGTTAAGCTAGAAACCACATAAACAGGAGCTGCTCATCCTTACCCAGGATGCACCTGGGCCAGACACTCATGAAGCACACTAGGCAAAGCATCCCGACAATCATTTGTGAAGGGACTAGTCTTACCTCCATTTAACTAGAGCAAAGTGAGACCCGGAAATGTTCAGCAACTGGACAACATCTAGGGTCAGGAATGAGCAGAACAGGGATTTGAACCTAGGGAGTTGGCTTCTGTATCACCAGGCATTAGCCACTAGGAGGCTATGGGAAACCCAGACAGTGTCTGGCCTGGGGCACTGGATAAACTTCCAGTAAGGGCTAGTTCCCTTCTGCTTCTCAGGCTAACGAGGACCCTCAGAGGCAGTGGTGATGGCTCAAGAAGTTGGGTTTCTAGGGGTCGGTGCTGTGACGTAGCACATAAAGCTACTGCCTGCAGTGCCGGCATCCCATATGGGTGCTAGTTCGAGTCCCAGATGCTCCACTTCCAATCCAGCTCTCTGCTATGGCCTGGGAAAGCAGTAGAAGATGGTCCAAGTCCCTGAGCCCCTGCACCTGTGTGGGAGACCCAGAAGAGGCTCCTGGCTCCTGGCTTCTAATCGGCGTTGCTCCGGCCTTTGCAGCCGTCTAGGGAGTGAACCAGCAACGGAAGATATTTATCTCTCTCTGCGCCTCTCAAAATTTTTTTAACTTAAAAATAAACCTTTATATAAAACTTTTTGGCAGATAACATTGTCTTTGGTTTATATAAAGAAATATTTTATTGTTTGCTGTCCGAGCCTAGTAGGGAAAGCATTAGGTAACTATACCCCTTCCATACAGCTGCCACTGTTTCCCCTGGCAGGGATGTACCGAGGATACAGTTGCACTGAAGTCATACTTGGCTCTTCTGAAACCAGATCATACACATGAAAAGAAAAATCTGTAACACACTTATTTTGTTTGAAGAAATTTGGAACATTCTAAGAAATGTCTTTTAGTAGGCTGAAAAAAATGCTTTTTGTGATTAAGGTACTATAATAAAGTCAGGTTCTGGGGCTGGCACTGTAGTGCAGTGGGCTAAAGCCACGGCCTGCAGCACCAGCATCCCACATGGGCACCAGTTCGTGTCCCGGCTGCTCCACTTTCGATTCAACTCTCTGCTATGACCTGGGAAAGCAGTAGGGGATGGCCCAAGTCCTTGGGCCTCTGCACCTGCATGGAAGACCTGGAAGAAGCTCCAGGTTCCTGGCTTCGGATCAGCTTAGCTCTGGCGTTGCAATAATTTGGGAAGTGAACCTGCAGATGGAAGATCTCTCT